TGTGGAATTGGGGTTGAAGGTGGCTAGCTGGAAGGTCGTGGTTTCGGATACGGTAAAAGAGACTGGAAAAGACATTTTATGACGTATGTCACAAAAACTCTAATACCATATAGAAATTTAGATAGACGTTTAGAAATAGTGTTTCTTTCTTTAATTGATTTAATGTACAAGCCTTCTTATTTATAGAAGGAGAGATGTAACAAATTCTACAAATGCACAGCTATAATTGAACTAAATTCAAATTCCTAGGATCTCTAAATTCAAATTCCTAGGATCTCATCTTCTCAGTTGAAGACTTGGTCTCCTCATATTCTGGGGAAACAGTTTTCTTTGTGTAGACTGATTCAACACCGTAGTTTGGCTAGGACGAGTTTAGAAGTACTTAACGTCTCAAATTCGACTCTTACAAACTAGTGTAGTTTATGACATGCATGTAATTTATATATGATGATTCAATAGAGTTTATGCAACAAACACGAATAAAGAAACTGGGATTTTCTATTATGATTATGAGCTTTGAAACTTTAAATACCATTATAATCTCACTTGGTTGACAGAAACAGGTCCAGAATTAATCAAATACAATCTGAAGGTTCCTGTGATTAAGGTTGTATTGGATATAAGTTGCTTTTAGTCAGGTTCGAGTCGAATTATCATCGTTCTCGTCGACTGGTTTACTGAATATAGATTTAGCAGATCACTCTATTCATAACCTGAACTTGTTAAAATTAAACCCTTTTTTGTAATATTGGTGAACTTGTTAAAATTAAACCTTTTTTTGTAATATTGGTGAATTCTATATCGGATTACCAGATCGTGTTAAGAAGTAATTAGTGGTCTAGCTGAGAACAAGAAACTCAGGCTTGGGCCTAAAACACAAACACACACACATTGATTTCATAGTAACATAACCAAAACTTGGAGAACCATGCTATATATTTCTTTAATACAACTGGGGTTTGGAAGCAAATATCTTTTTATATGTAGTTTTTGGCTTGATCCGATTATTACAAGAAGAAAATAACATGACAGAACCTCAAAACCGCCACTGATCTAGCAGCCATGACTTTACAAAACAAAAAGCTGTAATTTTCACTATGATTTTTGTGATTTCTGTTTGCACTTCCTAGCCAGAAGTACAGATCAGAAAAATACTGCTGACACAAAATCTAAGTTCTTCGAGAACCCAAGCTGAAAGATTCTCTCTCTCTATGAGAGATATCTTCTCTTCCCACTTCAGTTTTAGATCTTTTGTTTTTGGGTTTGTGGGTCTTTCATGCACAACCCAAGCCTCTAGCTTCTGATCCTTTCATGATTCTCAGTCTCTTGCAAGATGACATGAACATGCTGTGGAATAAGAATGAACAAACATGAGTATATATATATATATATATATATATATATATATAGAGAGAGAGAGAGAGAGAGAGAGAGAGAGAGAGAGAACTTACTCCCATGGAACATCACCAACCAGCATCCAGTCACCATCTTTGTCTTCATAAGTAGGTGCATATTCTGATCCTTGGTAGCCTTCTCTCTCTGAGTATTCACCTGAAAGGTAATACAATAACATCATCTTTAGCACCATCATCACCTTAATAATCATAGGAATAATAATATCATGATCAACTATAATTATTAGTACTAATTTTTACCTATAGTGATTTTGAACATGTTCTCCAAAGCTTTTAGGAGTTCTGGATAGCAATTGTAAACCTTCAAATCAATCTTCCTTAGATAAGGTGCTCCATCCATGCTAACTTTAACATAGATTCCAGTCTCAGCCTCAGCCTTCTTCGGTTGCAAGCAATTTTTCCGGTAGGATCTGACTGGTGGCCACCCAATCACTTGTGTCCTGCCATTTCACATACCCACAAAATGAATTAGTTGATAATCAAAATCTAACATAAAGCTCCTGTCATTTCTACCATATTAGTGGTGACAATTTTCGACATGACAACAAGTTGACACGATAAGACTTACTTGGCAGCAGGAGTTTCCCGGTTGCCGTGTTTGTCATCGGAACCAGCCACTGATTCACTGTCCTCAACAGATTCCGGTGATGCTCTCTTGTTGTTCTTAAAACTACACATCATTTCCTTCTCAGACTCATCTGTCCCTGGTAATCCTAATCTGAGCTCGGTTGCCTTGAGGTTGAGATCATTCTCATGACCCACAAAACTATCCATTGTTCAACGATTCTTGGCTTGAAAATACCCTAAATCTTCACCGTAAAACCCAACAAACGATTTTAATTTGCAAAACTGAAATATGTAGCAAGTAACAACTTTCCGGACAAATTGATTAACAAAACACTGCTTTCTTCAAAGAGTTGTAATGGGTTTGGTGAACAAGTTGAGGAGAGAAGATAGAAAATTGGTGTTTGTTGTGATACAGAGATGGGGGTTTTATAGATATATGAACTTAGTGTAATGAAGATTCCTATTTAAGTCTTTGTATTGCTTTCAAGTGTAGGACAAAGGAAAGCTAAGCTGTCGGTAGCATTAGCAGCACCTTTGAGGCAAGTGCTCCAACATTTAGGGGACAAGGATGGGACAAGCTCAGCCGCCCATATGGAAGGCTTGAGGGGTCAATGGGACGGTCAAGATGAGTTTTTGGGTGAAATCAGGGTCGTTGGTTTGGGAGGAGAGAGAAAAAGGAAGCATCCCATGTGAATACAAGAGATCCACACGGCTGTTGGGTATAGGGAGAGCATGGTCATGTGGGGACTATAGAGTTTTTGAAGTGTTTGAATTTTTCTTGGTGGGTGCTAGGCATGGAGTGTTTCATGTTTGTACACGGTTAGCCCAATACAGGTGTCTTCATTTGGTAGGTTCAATATAAAGTCAGACATACACACACATTACACACATATGTTTGATCACTTTGATATGGTGCATGATTTTCGGATTAAAATTTTAAAAACATATGTTTTAGATTTGGAAACTCGTTTTAAATTTTGATGTGACGGTAATTTTAAATTTTGATAAACCACTTTACATGTTAGCACGATCATTTGATTTGGTGCATGATTTTCAGATCAAACTTTTAATATTTAGGTGTGATTATATCAGTATTGATGTACCAGGTCTCATCAGAATTTTACAGATAAACGTGTTTGAACGAGATTAGTATTAGGATAAATGACTCCCGAATAATTTTCGAGTTGCACCGATTTTTAAAAGGAAAAAAAAAAAAAAATTTAGAACTCACGTTAAATACTAACAGGATGAAATTTTAAAGCTTTACTCAGTTAACATAGTCATAGCACCTTGTCATTTGGTTTCATTGTTAGTCTAACATTACTCAAAGTTAAATGGGTCTATTTGTCGGTGACTCCTCAACTTAGATTCAACCACTTATCTTTTATACTCATTGATACTATTTAACTCATGATGATAAACCAAAAGACTTTTAAAGTAGGGACTTTGTGACTTTGTGTTGTACAAACGATTCCTTAAACTTTACCCGTTTCACACTAGGGAATTTTCCTTCTTGTTGGTCCTTAATGAACCCTAGCTAGATACATGAACGATTCAAGCTGGAAACATTGCAAAGAATATATTCTTGAAAGGGTCAAGTTCTCAATGGCCTGTTTTAATTCCAATGAAATAATTCTATGCAATGAATGATTTAAGAGGGGGTTGACTTTTAAATATTTGACAAATCTCTTTTAATTTACTGTATAATTAGCTATTATTATTATTATTTCCAAACTACATAGGGTAGGTTTTCCCTCAACTTTGATAAATTCTAAATGACTACCCCATTCGTTTTTTATTTAGAGATTAAATTCTTGGATCCGTCCATAACCCGAAAGGGTATAGAAACTCTTGAACATTGTCCTCAAGAGTCAAGAGTGTGTGTGTCCCACCTTGTCCACTGGTCTGGGCTATCTCAACCATATGATGGGTTTCAGCAGAAGCCACAAATTTCATCAATGCCAGGGTCCATTTATGCCGCCCGTGGGTAAAATTCCTTTCAAAAAAGATTTCCAATAGTTATTTTCTTGTCTCAGTTTAAAAAAAAGCTGAGAACTTTGTCACGCGTGGCAAGGAATCGGATCGGACGGTGGAAACAGTTTTTTTTTACATGCAGAGGGTCTCGTGCATTGAGTTATTATTATTTTATTTTTGTTTTATCGTTTTATATCCGAATTCTCTTAACATTAGCCAAAATATTGATACAATGAATATCCAACAACTAAGATTCAGTCACTTCACCCCGTCTGTTTAATAAGACCGACCTTCAAAATTTGCACAACGAGTTGGTCGAATATTCTTGATTGCTTCATCATTTAATAAGCAATTGCAGCCTAATGCCTCCAGGAAAAATAATAAAACAAAAAGAACCAATGATATTTATATATATATATATATATATATATATATATATATATATCTCTGTGTGTGTGTTAAGAAATGCCATTGTTTGTCTGGTCCTGGTACAACACATCAACATATTATAACCACACTTCTTTCTTCTGATTAGGTCGGTGATGATAACGATTTTTTTAAATCTATTTTTAATTTGCATGATTAAGAAATAGAGGTTTAATAATTACTGGGACAAATTGTTCAGAGAAATTCTTGAAATTTTCATCAACACTATGAAGTTATTCTGATGATGCCAGAAAATGCTCACCGAGCTCCGTTTAATCGACAAAAATACCCGTAAAGACAAGGCGAANTTGACAGAAACAGGTCCAGAATTAATCAAATACAATCTGAAGGTTCCTGTGATTAAGGTTGTATTGGATATAAGTTGCTTTTAGTCAGGTTCGAGTCGAATTATCATCGTTCTCGTCGACTGGTTTACTGAATATAGATTTAGCAGATCACTCTATTCATAACCTGAACTTGTTAAAATTAAACCCTTTTTTGTAATATTGGTGAACTTGTTAAAATTAAACCTTTTTTTGTAATATTGGTGAATTCTATATCGGATTACCAGATCGTGTTAAGAAGTAATTAGTGGTCTAGCTGAGAACAAGAAACTCAGGCTTGGGCCTAAAACACAAACACACACACATTGATTTCATAGTAACATAACCAAAACTTGGAGAACCATGCTATATATTTCTTTAATACAACTGGGGTTTGGAAGCAAATATCTTTTTATATGTAGTTTTTGGCTTGATCCGATTATTACAAGAAGAAAATAACATGACAGAACCTCAAAACCGCCACTGATCTAGCAGCCATGACTTTACAAAACAAAAAGCTGTAATTTTCACTATGATTTTTGTGATTTCTGTTTGCACTTCCTAGCCAGAAGTACAGATCAGAAAAATACTGCTGACACAAAATCTAAGTTCTTCGAGAACCCAAGCTGAAAGATTCTCTCTCTCTATGAGAGATATCTTCTCTTCCCACTTCAGTTTTAGATCTTTTGTTTTTGGGTTTGTGGGTCTTTCATGCACAACCCAAGCCTCTAGCTTCTGATCCTTTCATGATTCTCAGTCTCTTGCAAGATGACATGAACATGCTGTGGAATAAGAATGAACAAACATGAGTATATATATATATATATATATATATATATATATAGAGAGAGAGAGAGAGAGAGAGAGAGAGAGAGAGAGAACTTACTCCCATGGAACATCACCAACCAGCATCCAGTCACCATCTTTGTCTTCATAAGTAGGTGCATATTCTGATCCTTGGTAGCCTTCTCTCTCTGAGTATTCACCTGAAAGGTAATACAATAACATCATCTTTAGCACCATCATCACCTTAATAATCATAGGAATAATAATATCATGATCAACTATAATTATTAGTACTAATTTTTACCTATAGTGATTTTGAACATGTTCTCCAAAGCTTTTAGGAGTTCTGGATAGCAATTGTAAACCTTCAAATCAATCTTCCTTAGATAAGGTGCTCCATCCATGCTAACTTTAACATAGATTCCAGTCTCAGCCTCAGCCTTCTTCGGTTGCAAGCAATTTTTCCGGTAGGATCTGACTGGTGGCCACCCAATCACTTGTGTCCTGCCATTTCACATACCCACAAAATGAATTAGTTGATAATCAAAATCTAACATAAAGCTCCTGTCATTTCTACCATATTAGTGGTGACAATTTTCGACATGACAACAAGTTGACACGATAAGACTTACTTGGCAGCAGGAGTTTCCCGGTTGCCGTGTTTGTCATCGGAACCAGCCACTGATTCACTGTCCTCAACAGATTCCGGTGATGCTCTCTTGTTGTTCTTAAAACTACACATCATTTCCTTCTCAGACTCATCTGTCCCTGGTAATCCTAATCTGAGCTCGGTTGCCTTGAGGTTGAGATCATTCTCATGACCCACAAAACTATCCATTGTTCAACGATTCTTGGCTTGAAAATACCCTAAATCTTCACCGTAAAACCCAACAAACGATTTTAATTTGCAAAACTGAAATATGTAGCAAGTAACAACTTTCCGGACAAATTGATTAACAAAACACTGCTTTCTTCAAAGAGTTGTAATGGGTTTGGTGAACAAGTTGAGGAGAGAAGATAGAAAATTGGTGTTTGTTGTGATACAGAGATGGGGGTTTTATAGATATATGAACTTAGTGTAATGAAGATTCCTATTTAAGTCTTTGTATTGCTTTCAAGTGTAGGACAAAGGAAAGCTAAGCTGTCGGTAGCATTAGCAGCACCTTTGAGGCAAGTGCTCCAACATTTAGGGGACAAGGATGGGACAAGCTCAGCCGCCCATATGGAAGGCTTGAGGGGTCAATGGGACGGTCAAGATGAGTTTTTGGGTGAAATCAGGGTCGTTGGTTTGGGAGGAGAGAGAAAAAGGAAGCATCCCATGTGAATACAAGAGATCCACACGGCTGTTGGGTATAGGGAGAGCATGGTCATGTGGGGACTATAGAGTTTTTGAAGTGTTTGAATTTTTCTTGGTGGGTGCTAGGCATGGAGTGTTTCATGTTTGTACACGGTTAGCCCAATACAGGTGTCTTCATTTGGTAGGTTCAATATAAAGTCAGACATACACACACATTACACACATATGTTTGATCACTTTGATATGGTGCATGATTTTCGGATTAAAATTTTAAAAACATATGTTTTAGATTTGGAAACTCGTTTTAAATTTTGATGTGACGGTAATTTTAAATTTTGATAAACCACTTTACATGTTAGCACGATCATTTGATTTGGTGCATGATTTTCAGATCAAACTTTTAATATTTAGGTGTGATTATATCAGTACTGATATACCAGGTCTCATCAAAATTTTACAGATAAACGTGTTTGAACGAGATTAGTATTAGGATAAATGACTCCCGAATAATTTTCGAGTTGCACCGATTTTTAAAAGGAAAAAAAAAAAAAAATTTAGAACTTACGTTAAATACTAACAGGATGAAATTTTAAAGCTTTACTCAGTTAACATAGTCATAGCACCTTGTCATTTGGTTTCATTGTTAGTCTAACATTACTCAAAGTTAAATGGGTCTATTTGTCGGTGACTCCTCAACTTAGATTCAACCACTTATCTTTTATACTCATTGATACTATTTAACTCATGATGATAAACCAAAAGACTTTTAAAGTAGGGACTTTGTGACTTTGTGTTGTACAAACGATTCCTTAAACTTTACCCGTTTCACACTAGGGAATTTTCCTTCTTGTTGGTCCTTAATGAACCCTAGCTAGATACATGAACGATTCAAGCTGGAAACATTGCAAAGAATATATTCTTGAAAGGGTCAAGTTCTCAATGGCCTGTTTTAATTCCAATGAAATAATTCTATGCAATGAATGATTTAAGAGGGGGTTGACTTTTAAATATTTGACAAATCTCTTTTAATTTACTGTATAATTAGCTATTATTATTATTATTTCCAAACTACATAGGGTAGGTTTTCCCTCAACTTTGATAAATTCTAAATGACTACCCCATTCGTTTTTTATTTAGAGATTAAATTCTTGGATCCGTCCATAACCCGAAAGGGTATAGAAACTCTTGAACATTGTCCTCAAGAGTCAAGAGTGTGTGTGTCCCACCTTGTCCACTGGTCTGGGCTATCTCAACCATATGATGGGTTTCAGCAGAAGCCACAAATTTCATCAATGCCAGGGTCCATTTATGCCGCCCGTGGGTAAAATTCCTTTCAAAAAAGATTTCCAATAGTTATTTTCTTGTCTCAGTTTAAAAAAAAGCTGAGAACTTTGTCACGCGTGGCAAGGAATCGGATCGGACGGTGGAAACAAGTTTTTTTTACATGCAGAGGGTCTCGTGCATTGAGTTATTATTATTTTATTTTTGTTTTATCGTTTTATATCCGAATTCTCTTAACATTAGCCAAAATATTGATACAATGAATATCCAACAACTAAGATTCAGTCACTTCACCCCGTCTGTTTAATAAGACCGACCTTCAAAATTTGCACAACGAGTTGGTCGAATATTCTTGATTGCTTCATTGTTGTCGTATACTACTTTGTATTGAAATTCATCATTTAATAAGCAATTGCAGCCTAATGCCTCCAGGAAAAATAATAAAACAAAAAGAACCAATGATATTTATATATATATATATCTGTGTGTGTGTGTGTGTGTTAAGAAATGCCATTGTTTGTCTGGTCCTGGTACAACACATCAACATATTATAACCACACTTCTTTCTTCTGATTAGGTCGGTGATGATAACGATTTTTTTAAATCTATTTTTAATTTGCATGATTAAGAAATAGAGGTTTAATAATTACTGGGACAAATTGTTCAGAGAAATTCTTGAAATTTTCATCAACACTATGAAGTTATTCTGATGATGCCAGAAAATGCTCACCGAGCTCCGTTTAATCGACAAAAATACCCGTAAAGACAAGGCGAATACTGAAGGGGCTCCGGGGTTGATCTTCCGGCTCTTTTGTCAAAAAGGAATTTTTGGAAGGAGAGTATTCAATTAAGACTAGTAGTATGTGCCTGAATTATTTTTAATTTTTCCCTTGTTATAGGCCGCGATGATTCAGCCGTTGGGATTATTATCTTCAATTTGAATTAGTCAAGTTTGTGAGGAATTAGGACTCTACTAAGTTGGGCAGCTGATTGAGCTAAGACCGAGACGTGCTGCAGCTCTTCCAGGATTCTGAGCACGTACCAAAATCTCCATTATCGATATTTTTAAGTGGTTGTAGATTATATTCGATGAATTTTATTGTAAATACCTTTAATTTTTTCGGTGTTAGGTTATTCACCGTAAATACTAGGGACCTAAAAGTTGAACATAAGTGTTGCACATAAAGTTTGAATAACAATCAAAATCCATGATTTGTCAATCCTAATAATTATAGATTAGCCCGAGTTCAAATTTTTTGAACTTTCTGGCCAAAAATAATTGTACGACAATAATCAACTGGCTAAGATTCGATCATCTCACCCATGCATTTAGCAAGGAGACTTTGGAAATTCGCACCATGTGTTGGGTCGAAGCCCAAAAGAATTATAAGTTAAAAATTAAAAAGATGCAAAATAATATAGAAATACCATTGGTTGTCTGGTCCTGGTAGTACACACATACATATTATAACCATGCTTGTATCTCTATTTGATTAGGTCGGTAACAATTATATTTATTGTCTATGTCCAATAGCTTGTTGTGGGTCAACTTGTAGGGCTGTAATCAAACTGTGCTATTCGAACTTGGCTCGGGTTCGATTTGAGTTCGGCTCGTTCATCAAAGCTCGGTTTGTTTTCTAAACGATTCCGAACTTAAACAAGTTTTTAGACTCATTTAGAAAACAAGCCCGACAAGTTCGGTTCAAATTCGACTCGTTTATGTGCAAGTACTCGAACTCGACTTGTTTTGGGCTCGTTTAAGTTCGGCTCGTTTCCTAAACAAGTCAAATTTGAATAATTTTCTAAACTTGATTAAGAAACAAGCTTTTCAAACTCTATTTGAACTCGTTCGACTAACAGCCCTATCAACATGTGGACTCGGTTTTTTTTTTTTTTTTTTTTTTTTATGACTGCTTCAATTTTGAGATACAAGTCTGCAAAGAAAAAAAAATGTGGGGATTAACTGCCCAAGCAAGTAGCAATTGTATTCAAACCATTTTTTTTTTTTTGATCAAAGTATTCAAACCATTCAATTAAATTTTATTTTTAAGTTAAAATAATATTTGATTATTAGGGTCGACTTTTCTAGATTCTACCTCACTGATGGGTCATCCACCGTGAACACTGATGGCCCAAAGCCCCTAGAAACTAGAATAGAGAGTTGCATATGAGTTTGAACTATAAAATTAACAAAGATAATGGACAATCCCTCTGGATATGTTGAAGAGGTTTCTGTATGCACAGGAATATCATATTGGATAACTTGCAAAATCTCAATTACGAATCTTTTGTATACCTTAATGTTTTTAATAATTCACTCATTTCTGTCAAATTTGGCGTTATGTTATGTAGTGATCGATAGTAAAAACTCTATATAGTTGATCTTTTGAACCCGTTTCGAGGTAATAGAGGGAGGGATTTTGATTTAAACTCCTCAATTTGAGTTCATTGCTGGGTAAAACTTTTAACAATCGGTATTTAGATTTCAGTGGATGGAAATTGTGCTTGCAAATCCAGGGTTACTGTAATTTTTGCCCTTAATAATTTTAAAAATTATACTTAAGTCCCCCAAAGTTTATATAGTGCACTTTTTCCCATTAAGGTTTTCCATCTACAAAAATGTTTTATTGGAAATTTCCTTGCTAAAATTTTTAACTCTTTGACACTTTGTCCTCGGAAAGATTTATTATCTCGATTCTCGTGTACACGTGGTCATATTAAAAAACTTATGACCTATTTGGTTGAAGGAATAGAAAATAGAAAGGATGGAAAAATATGAGAAATAAACTTTTCATTCTTAGAGGAAGGAAAATCACTTTCTCTCATTTTTGTTTGGTACGATGGATGAAAAGTTAGATGAATTAATTTTTTAGTGTTTGGTATTAGAGGAAAAATGTAAGGAAAGAAAACACATGTAAATTTAATTTACTATTATACCCTCACTAATAAAAACTATTTTTTCCTATTGCAAGGAGACTTTTCAAGATTTGAAAATGTTAAAAATCCCTCCAATTTACTATAAGAATTAATAAATATGTACAAAAATATATTTTTTTTGTCCACTTTCTTGTGGAATTAACTAAATAAATGGTTTAAAATATAACATTTGTATGCTTTTGAGAAATATATCGAAATTGATTAGTGAGGAATATAAAAAAAAAATCATCTAATATATAAGAGTGATGATTATCGACATGATGTGATAACATAATATGAATTCGACATGTAATTTTGATCGATTTAACGTAAATATATGTTATGCAGTTTTTTAAATTAATTGGGTTGTAATCAATTAGTTGGATCATATTATATTGAGTTTGTATTGTGTTAATTTTGTTGGTATGATGGATGAGATAAATTTTCCATTGTCTTGCAAAAAAAATAAAAAGAATGGAATGAAAAAATATATAAACTCAATATAATGTTATGCCCTTGAATATAAATTATATATTTTTTATTATAAATTGTAAAATTGCACTT